TTTTTCTGAAATGAAAACAATAGGATCCCTAGAATCTTGTTACTAACGTGCCGTATCTTGTTCTCATTCTGTTTAAAAGATATACTGTTATCAACACCTTAATTATAATTGTAAGATAAATCTTTATGAGCAGAAATGCCTTTAGCTATGTTTTAATTTTAAGAGATATAGCACAGCCCTTTTACAGTGGTTAAGTACATTAGATTGAGAGCAGTGAACAAGATTGGTGGTTTATATCAACCTCCAATGACCAACATAGATTAGAAAAGTAAACCTACACTGTTTTCTACTACAAACCACAACATATGTAGTTTCCCATAGTGAACATTTATAGTTTCAAAGCCATAACAGTTCTTAGAACTCTTAAAACAAACTTTTTAATATCACAAGAAATCTCTTTGCAGTAAGAGATAGGCTTAGGCAGAACCTTTAAGTACAGACAATGGATTGATGCAGCTTACATTATGGTAACTGGTATGTAAATATTCAATAATAATTTCCTTAACCATTTATCAAGATGTAATGTCTAACTGAAAGATTTGTCTACTCAAACTACCTGTGTTGACTGCCTCCCAAGCTTTCAAGTTTTCTCATTAATCTGCTCACTGAAGCTTGTAACTTCTGGCTTCAGTTATCATTTCTAGCCAGAGGTAGGTAAAAGAATATGGAGCCTATTAATTCCTGTTGCCACACTAACTAGATTTTAGGTTTTGAATAAGCTATCTGTTATGCACATTCTCATTAGGCACAAGCATAGACATTAGAACAGGCCCTGAGGCAGTGGCCTTAGGCAGGGGCAGATCCTACAAATGGCGTGTGAGTGGATGGACACCCCCAAACCCAACCACCATCCTGTGTTTCTGGTAAGCAGGGTAAAGAGAGGGTCAGGACCAGAGCTGGACAGATGGTGGCAAATGTGAATGAGGGAGGGACTTGCCCAGAGCTATTTCAGGTGTCCCTGGGCCACCCCAGTCTTATGACCTCCAAATTATGTGCAGTATACAGTATGAAAGGGAGGCTGGTCATCAGGAGTGATATCTTTTGTTCATAAATGAAGGCTAGAGCCGGCAGGCATATGGAGACATTATGACTTTCACGGGCCCCGTGCCCGCCTCTGTGAGGGTCTGAGGGAGCCGTGTGTGGAGGTGCTGTCCAGATGCAGTTTCAGAGTTCTGAGTTCCAAGTCTCAGTTCCACAAATTCAACATATCAGGAGCAGTGCCACCTCCTCTACTTGACAGTGAATCTAACCACTTCAGCCTCTGTAGGAAAAACAGGTAAGAGGTACTCCTCAGGGACATAGGTGAAGCGTAGCATCTGGTGGAAGAGTCCTTCAACATAATAGCTGTTTGAAAAGATTCTTTCAGTAATTAAGGTGGGGGGAAAAATGGGTGGGTTCTAGGGAGCTAACATTCTGTTGAACCTGCTACTCTGGGAACTGAAAGACCTCAGAGGGAGACACACAAAGAGGTTAGGAAGGGGCTGGGATTGATGCTCACCCACCATGTCACTTCATTATCAAAATCTCTTGAGGGGAAAACCTGCAAGTCCCCTGCTTCCATTTCACATCTTATCTCTAAAACAGTCTCCTTTTGGGGCTGGCCCTTTAACATCTGTTGCGACATGCCACGGAGTGTACAAAAAACAGCCTGAGAAGCCTCCTTCAGACCTTGAGGAATCTATTTAATTTGTGATGGTTTGCATTTTGTTTGTGGGAGGGATAAAAACACAACAAGCCCTAGAAAATAACTACTTCATTGCATATTATAATTTATTCCACCAGGAGGTTGGAAGTATGCCTCCAAATTGCCCTAGCACAATCTTTGAGGATCTGGTGGTTCATACTAGCAAATCTGAAGTCAGTGGAAAATTTCCACATGAGAGAATTATAGCATTGGATCCTTTAAAATGACAACACGTGCACATAGCACCCCCCCCCCCGCCCGCAGCCCCCCATCCTCACCCCCGGCATTTCTGAATGTCTGGAAATCCTGATCAGGAATTTGAAAAGCAGTCAGGATATATTGCATCAACTGTGTTCCAAAGTATTTATGCAGTGTATGTTTTAATACTAAAAAAATGATTTGGTTAGACTTAGCAGGCTCAGCCTCATTCTCTGAGAGGAGTTCTTAATTGCTGCCATAAAAAATGTCCTGATTTAAATCATAAGATAGTATACAGGGGGTTGATGGCTTGGATTCTTTTTGAAAGTTAGGTAAATAGTGTAGTATGTGGTTATAACCCGTTGCTGGTTTCTATAAAATAGCTAATGGGAAAGAACCAATCTTTCTTTTTTTTGTTGTTTTGTTCTTTCTTCCTTTCTCTCTTTTGTCCCTTCTTTTCTTTGTTGCTTAAACTATCATGAGTAAGATGAACAGTTTGCAAGAGCCACTCTCTTTAGATATTTTATCTATTCTTGTTCTCAGATGGCAACTGCAGACATCTCAGTTTGACCCCAAATGCCTTGAAATCTGAAAACAGATGGTGGGTAGAAAACTAGAAAGGTGCTGATTTTCAATGTCTGGTCTTGCTGTTCTGATCGTCTCAGGGCTACAGTACATGGTCCAATGCTTTCCCTTAACAGTTATCCTGGCTTGGAATTGCTCTCCCCACTTGGACCCATTTTCATCTAGATAGAGCCTTTTCTTCCTTCAGACCCATATTTTCCATTCTTATGGGAACCTAAATGCAGGCAAGGAGAGGTAGGAAATGGAGAGTTATAGGATGGACCCTGGGCTGGGCTTGGCAAAAAGTGTGACAGGTCGGGCTTCCCTGGTGGCGCAGTGGTTGAGAGTCCGCCTGCCGATGCAGGGGACACGGGTTTGTGCCCTGGTCTGGGAAGATCCCACATGCTGCGGAGCGGCTGGGCCCGTGAGCCATGGCCGCTGAGCCTGCGCGTCCGGAGCCTGTGCTCCGCAACGGGAGAGGCCACAAGAGCGAGAGCCCCGCGTACCGCAAAAAAAAAAAAAAAAGGGTGACAGGTCAGTGGAGGCTGTAGGGGTGGGGAGACCATCAATCCTAATCACAGTTATGATTGTGGAGGTGGGAAAGGGACTTGTGGGGCTGGAAGGATCCCAGTTCAAACTGGGCCAACCAATCAGTTAAAGGAGGGCCCTCAGCAGAAGATGCCATGTAGCAAGCCACTATTTATACCAAGGGTGCTTGGGAACATAATGGAAGTCTCCTCATTAAAACCCCACACCCGAACCACCAGCAAGTCCTATCGACTCTACTCCCCAAAGATATTTAAAATCTAATATTCTCTCCACCTCTGCCACTAACACCTGGTCGGAGTCACCACCTTCTCTTACTAATCATCAGGGAAATGCAAATCAAAACCACAATGAGATATCACCTCACACCTGTTAGAATGGACATTATCAAAAAGACAAGAAATAACAAGTATTGGCAAGGATGTAGAAAAAAGGAAACGCAGGGCACTGTTGATAGGAAAGTAAATTGGTGCAGCCACTATGGAAAACTCTATGAAGGGCTTCTCAAAAAAATAAAAATAGGACTACCATATGATCCAGCAGTTCCACTTCTGGGTATTTATCCAAAGAAAATAAAAACACTACTTTGAAAAGTTATATGCACCCCTATGTTCATTGCAGCATTATTTACAATAACCAATATGTGGAAGCAACCTAAATGTCCATCAACAGATGAATGGATAAAGACGATGTGATATAGATAGATAGATAGATAGATAGGTATAGCTATATATACAATGGAATATAACCATAAAAAAGAATGAAACCTTGCCATTTGCAATGACATGGATGGAACTTGAGGGTAATATACTAAGTGCAATAAGTCATACAGAGAAAGACAAATACTGTATGATTTCACTTCTATGTGAAATCTAAAAAATAAAACAAATGAACAAATGAAACAAAACAAAACTCATTGATATAGAGAACAGGTTGGTGGTTGCCAAAGGGGAGGGGTGTTGGGAGAGTGGGTGAAATGAGTGAAGAGGATCAAGAGGTACAAACTTCCAGTTATAAAATAAATAAGTTGGGCTTCCCTGGTGGCGCAGTGGTTGAGAGTCCGCCTGCCGATGCAGGGGACACGGGTTTGTGCCCCGGTCTGGGAAGATCCCACATGCCGCGCAGCGGCTGGGCCCGTGAGCCATGGCCGCTGAGCCTGCGCGTCCGGAGCCTGTGCTCCGCAACGGGAGAGGCCACAACAGTGAGAGGCCCGCGCACCGCAAAACAGAAACAAAAACAAAAACAAAAATAAATAAATAAATAAGTCATGGGGGTGTAAAACAGAGCATAGTGACTATAGTTAATATTATATTGCATATTCAAAAGTTGCTAAGAGAGTAGATCTTAAAAGTACTCATCACAAGAAAAAAAAATTGTAACTTAATGTGGTGATGGATGGTAACTAGACTTATTGTGGTGGTCATTTCACAGTGTGTACAAATATTGAATCATTACGTTATACACCTGAAACTAATACAGTGTTGCATGTCAATTATACCTCAATAATAAAATTTTTTTTAAATTAGTTTTTATTGGAGTATAGTTGATGTACAATGCTGTGTTAGTTTCTGCTGTACAGCGAAGTGAATCAGTTATACATATACATATATCCAGTCTTTTCTAGATTCTATTCCCATATAGGTCATTACAGAGTACAGAACAGAGCTCCCTGTGCTATACAGTAGATACATATTAGTTCTCTATTTTATATATAGTAGTGTGGATATGTCAGTACCAATCTCCCAATTTATCCCTTGCCTCCTCCACTTTCCCCCTTGGTAACCATAAATTTGTTTTCTACATCTGTGACTATTTCTGTTTTGTAAATAAGTTTGTTTGTACCATTTTAATTCAAAAGTTAAAAAAAAAAGCCAAAATCCTTACCAGGGCCAACAGGGCCCTCCATGGGACTCTCCCTTCCCCTCTTCTTTCTGACATTATATCCTCTGTCTTCCCCTTCCTTTGTCCTGATGCAATGGTCCATCTACTGTTTTCCTTGTCATTCCAGGCACACTCTGGTATCTGAGCTTCGTTCTTCCCTCTGGCTGGAGCACATTTACCCCAGAGAGCTGTGTGGGCCACTCCAACTCCTCCAGGTCTTTGCTCACAGGTCACCTTCCTGGTGAGTCTTCCCTGAGCACATTTTTAAACATCTTACCCCCCGCCCCGCTCTGGCTTGCTCTGTCCATCTTCCCTGCTTTACTTTTCTCCATAGCACTTATCACTCTCTGATGTACTATATGTTTTATTTTTTGGTTTATTTTCTGTTTTTTTTCTCAGCAGAACATAAGCACATTTGCTTTCTAATGTAGCCACAGAACTTAGAACAATACATAGCATGTAGCAAGCACTTAACTATTTATTGAATGAATAAATGAATGAGTTCATTAAACAGACCCCCAGTAGTGACAGGGAGAACAAGACAGCTCAAGAGTCAATGGAATTGTCAGAGTCCCAGTTCATGGTGACAAGGCTAGGTTTTTGGGAAAACAAAAGCAAATAAGATGTTCGTGTTTCTTAGATGCTCATAGTAGAGGAGCCATATACAGGATGTTATCAGTTTGTCAGAGAATGATCAATGCCTGTGCTCAAATAGATTGAACACAGCCAGAGGCTGGCATCAGGACTCTAGCCCTTCTGTGAACGTCTGTAACAATCACTGTCTCACCCATTCACCCATCCATCCATCCATCCATCCATCCATCCATCCATCCATCCAGTCTTATGACAGTTGTTTATCCAATGTTTTTGCAAAACTGGCTTTGCATTGCTCAGATTTTCTGAACATCTCTCCTACAGAACTGAGCATTTTTGTGAGCAGGAATCTCCACATCATTAAATCTTGAATACTCCCATTCCCTGACATGAAGTCTTGAATGAATGAACCTTGGACAAGGGGTTGTGCCTTGTTTTTTCTCTTTAAAACCTAAGAGAAAGAATAACGAGAATGGATGAATCAATATACTAAAGGTCTTGGAATTTTTCAAAGTTAGAGTTCAGATGTTTCTAACTGGCGCTGGGTACTCTCCCCGTGCTGCACATTTGCCTTTGCTCATTCAGTTGTGCCCTCCACATGAGATGGCTGATCTCCCACGATCATTTCCTTTCATTTGGGAACCTGGTAAACCCAAGGCTGGTCCCAACGCTGGAAAAGAGGCTTCGTTCCTGGTTATTTATTCCATTAATTGCTAGGTTGTTTTTGTCTATCTCACTGACTTCATTTCTCTTTCTCGCTCCATATTCTACTTGATATTAAATAGCTGTAGACTTTTCACACAATAAGGCTCTTAAAATGGGTGTGTGAGTGTTCCTCTAAACATATTTTAATTTCTCACTCTGTCTTAGTCTGCTTAGATTGCCATAACAATAATATCATTGGCTGGGTGGCTTGAACACGGGAATACATTTTCTCACAGTTCTGGAGGCTAGAATCTGGGATCAGGGTGCCAGCCTGGTTGGGTTCTGGTGAGGCTTCTCTCCCTGGCTTGCAGATGGCCGTCTTCTTGCTGTGTCCTCATGTGGCCTTTCCTCAGCGCATGCAGTTGGGAAGAAAGATCTTTCTCCCTTCCTCTTCCTATAAGACTACCAGTCCTATTGGATTACGACCCCTCTTATGACCTCATTTCACCTTAATTACCACCATAAAGGTTCTTTTTCTAAATATATCATTGCATTGTGAGTTAGGATTTCAACATAGGAACTTGAAGTGAGGGACACAATTCAGTCCGTAGCACGGCCCTTCTTCAGATACACAATGTCAAGTATCAATGGGGTTAAATTTGTTGTAACTTTAATTTGATCATAACTTCAAGCTGTGTTTATGCCCAGTTTTTATATTTTCTTCCTCACTTAGCATGCATTTCTGTTCACCACTTAAATCAACTTCAGGGAATGTGATTTATAGATTAGTCTTGCTTTGCTCCCATTGTCAAGTTTTTACTTTACTCTGAATCTGGTTCCTTTTATTTTTGTTAAAAAGACAGGTCAGTATGGAATCCTCCGTCCCCATTAAACACTTGGTACTCGTTTGCCCATCTAGCCCTCATCTCCTCTATCTTATCTGTAGTTGCACAGACATAAACACACACACACACACACACACACACACACACACACACACACACACACTCTTCTCATGGTTGCTTTCTTCTTTTTTTTTCCCCTCCTTGGTACTAGTATCTTTTATTTTTGTGAATAAAGCCATAATGTTAGAAGATTTATCAGTGAAATTTTCCTTTGTCTATCTTTTTTTTAATATTTTAATTTTATCAGAGTATAGTTGATGTACAACGTTGTGTTAGTTTCAGGTGTACAGCAAAGTGATTCAGTTATACATATACATGTATTCATTCTTTTTTAGATTCTTTTCTCATGTAGGTTATCACGGAATACTGAGTAGAGTTCCCTGTGCTATACAGTATGTCTCCATTAGTCATCATTCTTGTTTATAATAGTGTGTGTATGTTCATCCAAAGCTCCTGATTTATCCCTCCCCACTACGTTTCCCCTTTCGTAACTGCAAGTTTGTTTTCAATGTCTGTAAGTCTGTTTCTGTTTTGTAAATAACTTCATTTGTATCATTTTTAATATTAGATTCCACATATGAGTGATATCATATGATATTTGTCTTTCTCTGTCTGACTTACTTCACTTAGTGTGACAATCTCTAGATCCATCCATGTTGCTGCAGATGGCATTATTTCATTCTTTTTTATGGCTGAGTAATATTCCATTGTATATATGTGCCATATCTTCTTTATCCTTTCATCTGTTGATGAACACTTAGGTTGCTTCCATGTCCTGGCTATTGTAAATAGAGCTGCAATGAACATTGTGGTACATGACTCTTTTTGAATTATGGTTTTCCCAGGGTAAATGCCCAGTAGTGGGATTGCTGGGTCATATGGTAGTTCTGTTTTCAGTTTTTTAATGAACCTCCATACTGTTCTCCACAGTGGCTGTATCAATTTACATTCCCACCAACAGTGCAAGAGGGTTCCCTTTTCTCCACACCCTCTCCAGCATTTATCGTTTATAGACTTTTTGTTGATGGCCATTCTGACTGGTGTGAGGTGATACCTCATTGTAGTTTTGATTTTCATTTCTCTGATAGTTAGTGATGTTGAGCATCTTTTCATGTTCTTTTGGCCATCTGTATTGTGTCTTCTTTGGAGAACATGGCTGCTCTCTTCTAACCATTCGAGTTTCTGTTAAAAAACTTCACTGAGATCTTGCCCAACTATCATATCTACAGAAGTTAGTCCCATCACATCACCTATTTTCTTTTCTCTCTAACACCTAAGACTACCGTCATTTTGTGGATGGGTAAAATGAGGCTAGAGAACATAAGGGATTTGTCCACAGTTGCTCAGTTTCTGAGCAGCAGAGAGAAGGCCTGAGAAGCAGAGGGTGGTGCTCAAAGGGGTCTGGAGGTAAACCTAAACTATTACAAAACTTATCTCCTAGCAGTCCCAGGCCTTCCCTCATAAAAAGCAAGACAGCAGTCATTGGCTCTAATTGCTTCAAAGTCTTTTCATAGTGGCCCTTGCTTCTTTCCTTTTTCTGTTGCCTTGATAAAACTGTCTGGCAGAGTGGAGGGACAAGCATGGAAGGACACATTTGCCACATATAGGGTTGACAGATTTAGCAAATAAAAATGTAGAAGCACAGCTGTCTTTGAATTTCAGATAAACAATGAATATTTTTTGAGAATAAGTATGTCCCGTGCAATGTTTGGGACATACTTAGGCTAAAACATTATTTGTGTTTCATCTGCAGTTCAGTTTAACTGGACATCCTGTGTTTTATCTGGCACCCCTAACCAGATGGCTGCTCTACAACTACATGCATCCTATAGATAATGGTTGTAAGCCTCAGGTGAGTGTGCTGGGGAAAGAAAACAAGCAATAAAGTCCCTTTGAGCTCTGTTGTTTTATTTACTTAGGTGAAACTCTGATGTTCTTTGACAATAGAAACAACACCACAAATATTCCGAAAAGAATATATATTTTACTTTGGAAGCTTTGACTTATATCTTTATCAGCTCAGTTGCTTTGGTTTTCTGTGAATTCACAGCATTTAATATCTAAGCACCAAAGGAACTAGAAAACTGCATGAGTTCATCACCGCTGGACTCGTGTTTGGGTAAACTTGGACAAGCTGATTTACCTCTCTCATTTGCAAAATGAAGATAATAATAGCCTGTGTCTTATAAGATTGTGAGGGGTAAAGGAGAAATTGTATATGAAAGTGGCTAGTCCAGTGCTTGCCATATAGTAGACACTCAATACATAACAGCTTCACTTTTCTTGCCTCACCACTCCATTTCTGAGAGTGAACAACATCACATTCCCAGACCATGGCAAAATATTAGGCTGAAGAAATTACTGTTATGTCTCAAAGAAATTATTACCCTTACTTACCAATAACCAGATAACCAGCAGAGCCAAACCAATCGATTTGTTCATTCAGGCATTTATTCAGCAAGTATTTATCGAAGACCTAACATGTGCCAGGGGCAGTGATCTAGGAGCTGGGGACACACGGTAAACGGAGCGAAGTTGCTATTTTCCCATGAGAATTGTTTATATTACAGTGTGTGTGTGTGTGGCGTGGGGATGCAGATGATGACTGGATAAGCAGGAAAACGTATTATATCACATTTTACATGGAGCAACCAATTAGGGCAAATGTTGTGAAACGGAGTCCTTGAATTTGGTTGTGTGGAGATCACTGGTGGCCTTGATAACAACAATTGTTCCCTGAGGTTGTTTAAGGGAACGAGGGGAGCAGCAGGAAGTAGAGAAAGGAACTTTGCTAAAAAGCAAGGAGAAAAAAAAATGGGTGGCAATTCAAAGGGGATATGGGGTTAAAAGACTGGATTTTTTAATGGGAGTCATGATAGCATGTTTAAGCCGAAAGGAATGACCAGTAGAGAGGAACAGATAATGCAGAAGGCAAAGGACAACTCTGGGAGTGAGTGCTTGACAAGGCGATAAGGCAAGAGACTCCAGTGGACAAGAAGATTTGTGCTTAGAGTGCTACCGGGACCTTTTACTCGCTGCAGAAAGATGGGAGGTCGAATATATGAGGTTGAGGGTACAGGGGCTTAGTCAACTCTGCAATGGGAACATGTGGAAGTTCTCTTCTACCTCCTCAGAGAAGTAAGACATAAAATACTTTCACTTCTCTTATCAATAATTATCAATTATTAAGTTGAAAATAATTACTGATGTTAGAAATGACAGCTTCCTCTTGCCAAACACCCACTCATATTTGGGATATGTATCCTTGTCCCCCCACCCCTCCTGTGCACAGCGGATTGATACTTTATTCGCAGTCAGCTCTTTTCAGCCCCCTGTGCTGTTCCCAGGCGGAGGTGCTGGTATTTCGATGCTTTTCAGCCATCACATGTTTCTCTCCATTGAGATAAACTTCTTCCAGAAGAAGCTGCCCATCTTGACAAGTCTGTTTTGCGTCTGTGCTCCACTGCACAGCCAGACCTGAAGGTGACAGGAACTGACAAACTCTCTGAACTTGTCCCATTGGATTTGTTTAATGGGCCTTTCCCTGACATAGATGAAAAAGTCATTGACAGAAACAGACCATTTACCAGGAACCTGAGCAGAGGTATAAACAGCGACAGATGAAATAGGTCTCGAAATAAAGCTGGGAAATGCAGGACATATGTGATGGGCTCAAGGAGATCTCTGCTTTCAAATGTCAAGATGAAATGGACGGTGTTGGGTTTTGCAGCCTCGAGTCATTCAGCTGGTTAGCAAGAAAGCCAGTCCCCCACTCCCCATTTCTCTATCTACACCAGAGACAGAAACAGCTAAGTGGTGATGTGAGGGTCAGGGGTGGCTTTCAACAGGACACTCCAGACCCGAAGGGTGAGTTCTCTTTCCAAGGGCAGCGAGACCAAAAAGGAAAAAAAACAAAAACAAACAAAAGAAAAAAAACAAACAACAACAAAACCCCACCATTTAAAAATTTGCAGCCATTTAGAAATTCTAGTTGGAAGGCAGAATTCCTTCTTTCTTTCTTTCTTTCTCTCTTTCTGTGTTGGGTCTTTGTTGCTGCATGTGGGCTTTTTCACTAGTTGTGGTGAGCGGGGGCTACTCTTCATTTTGGTGCGCTGGCTTCTCACTGTGGTGGCTTCTTTTGTTGCGGAGCACGGGCTCTAGGCACACAGGCTTCAGGAGTTGTGGCATGTGGGCTCAGTAGTTGTGGCTCGTGGGCTCTAGAGTGCAGGCTCAGTAGTTGTGGTGCACGGGCTTAGCTGCTCCACGGCATGTGGGATCCTCCCGGACCGGGGCACGAACCCGCGTCCCCTGCATCGGCAGGCGGACCCTCAACCACTGCACCACCAGGGAAGCCCGGCAGGCGGATTCTTAACCACTGTGCCACCAGGGAAGTCCCTGAAGGCAGAATTCTTGTTGAAGGAAGCTTTCCAAACAGAAGAGTCACATCTTAGGAGTGATATTTTTAGGTTCTATAATCAACACCAAACGTGAACATCATATAAACTTAGTATTATCCTTGAAAAGCCCTTATATCAGCCATAGAACATACAACCTTGTGTTCTAATTTCTATCCACACTGAAATTTGAAAATTATTGCAGTTGATTAAAGGAGAAAACAGAAGGGAAATCCGTGTGTAGATGTCTGGTCTTCAGACCATTCTGCCTCTAAGGCAGCTATCCAACCCCTAGCTTTGAATGAGCACTGGGTGGAGAATGCCATGCGCTCTTTTTGGGCCATAGGTTTTACTTTATTTCCTTTTAATATTAAACCTTGACAACCTTTATAAGTGGTATAGGATGTGTTTGGCATTGTGAGGGTTGAATGGAATAGTGACAGTGCATCAACTCCAGGTTGGGGTGAATGTCTGAGTGTTGATTCATGCTGAAGTAATACCACCTCACTCTGTTTTCTTTAAGAAAAATCTTCAGATAGTCCAGTGGATATGTAAAGTCTGAGTCTCCTTTGAAAGGAGTACGTTGGCTCAATGAAGAGTTAAAATTGCTTTATTAAGGCAATTTAATTTATTAAAGTATTAAGGCAATTTCTTAAATGAAAAACTTAAAAAAAAAAATAAAACATGCAACCCAGGTAAGAGTGTCCTCTACCAAAAGATGGTTGGTTGGTTTTCAAAAGGAAAGAGAAGGACGTCTCGGTAGCAGCCCAACATTGGAGTCTGGAAACTAGCACTGTGAGGAGAGAGAGAGAGATGGCGGGGCAGGAAAGGCGCCGAGGAGGAATAGAGCCTGAGCAGCATGGGCGAGCAGAGAGGCCCAGCAAGTGCTGACGTGCTCAGGGAATAGAGACATCAGGCCTCCACTTTCAGTTTTCTATTCTGGCTTTTGAAATGCCCTGTGATCTTCTCAGTGCTTCGGTAGGGTCAGTGACCTGCTGCAGCTAATGTGGCTGGGAATTATGCAGTGGGTTAGAGTCCAAGCTGGGATGGGAGAACGGGGAGTGCTACCTAACCTTCCCAGGACCACCCTTACCCCAAGAGTGGAAGCGTCACTATTAAAGACAGATGGTTTTTGCAGGTCCGGGGGGAGGTGAACGGCAGCAAGAGCATCAGAGAAGTCCAAGGTGGAACAGAGATACTCAGGAGCTAGGCAGTGGACAGGACACAGCTGCAGGACCCCACACAGGAGTGGACTGAGACAAAAGCCCCTTCTCCCAAATATGCTAGCAGTGGCGTTGCTGACTCAGATGCCTGTGGGACCAGCCAGTAGCACACAGAGGACTGAAGGTGCTTAGTGTAAACTTAGTGCTGAGCTCCTTCTACTGCAATTAAGCTTCACATCTGCTAAGTTACCTTGGTTTTTAAAACATTGTGGGGATGAGTCAGACAGTGAAACAAAACACTTTCTTGGGTTTCCTACTGCTGCAGGCTTCCAGACTGTGGCCCCCATCCTGGGGAAGGTAACCCTCTGAGGGGGAAGTGCCCTTCTCTACGATGTGGGCGGGACCCACGCCTGTTTGTGTTTTCAACAAAGAGTCCTGAGAAGTAGCACTGCCTGTTCACCCTGTCAAGAGAGGATTTATGAATGAGGGCCCGTGGATCATACCCAAAGTAGCATCTCTGCCTGCCCCACGGGACGCAGCTCAGCCTTCCGTCGTTACAGAGATGAGCAGAAATCTGTGCTATTTCTTTAGCGTTCGGGGGCTTTAAAGGAAACATGCACTCGTGTTTCTGCCCGCATTTCTTAGTCTGCCACCACAAGGCTGACTCATCCATCTTGGTCTGGGTTCTCCTGAAAGTAGAGTCTCAAAGACTGAGTGTAGATAATTATTTGGGATCCAGTCCCAGAAAACGGGAGGGAGGTCGTGGGGAGACTGAGGCAGGGTATCACCATAGTGCATCATTGAGGTATCCACTGTCTGTATACAGAAAGGGGCTGGGGCACTGATCCACGGACTCTTGTCTCTCAGTAGTTGCAGGTTGGGGGAAGGGAGCATTAACTCTTCTGTCTGAGCTTTCCTTGTGCGAAGCTCCTACGGCTTCAGAAAAGGCCCTAAGGCTGAAAAGCAGAGAGAGCTGGCTGAAGGAGAGAGCTTGAGGTAGGCATGAATTTAGGCGAGGGAGTGTGATGCAGGGCATGCAAAGTGTCTGCTACCGTCTCTAATATGCAAGAGATTGGGACCCGTCATTCTCGGGCTGTGCCGAGGTCTGGGTGCTGCTGCCCTGACCAGGACTTGGCTTGACAACCCCTCTTTTGCCCCCTCCCCACTGCTCCATTACATAAGCCCAGGATGCCTCTCCTAGACTGTGCTTTTCCTCCTTGCTTCTATAATACTCACTCTCAAGGTTTTCCATGCATCGGAATATGTGAAGAACCCAGCGTGTAGCAGCAACTCAG